CACGACGCGTGCCGTCCAATTTGTTTTGGGTACGGCAGAGTAGAGCAGGCTCGCACGCGACATCTGCGCCCCTTTAAGCTGCGTCCAAGTTCGGGCTCTCTACGATAAGGCTCAACAACACGACCGACGCCTCTCACCGATCCACTGCGCCCACGAACCACACTCCTTGGTGCACCCAGCACAGCCCTTGTGTCGCGCCTGCCTCCCGTTCAAGACTATCGTGAACCCCAGACACCTGCACAGCCTGGCTTCGCGCGGAATGACTTCGCTTCTGGTGAGCGACTTCGGTGGGAACCACTTTCACACCAACATGTTTGGCGGCGGCAGTACGCACCAGGCGCAAGAGTCTCCTGCCGGTCATCACACGCCTGTACGCCCGTCGCCGTCTTCGAGCGCCAATGCGCCGCGGCCAGTAGCTTCGTCTGCTGATGTTCCCATGGCGGATTCGGGAGCCCCGCAGTCGAGCTCAACACCAAGCCAGCGATCGCAGCAGCACAACAGCTCAGAGCCAAACTCCACCGCACCCGCTGCTGACCAAGCAGTACCGACACCGCCCAGTCCTACTTTCCGCCCCCGCTCGCAGCAGCCGACGCCTTCGGGCACAGACCCCGCCGTCGCAAACTCGCGAACCGTTCCCCAGCCTTCCCCAGCACAGTCCCTACGATCGCCGGAAGCTTCTCCTACACGCATCAAAGTTAAGAGCCTGTCACACATTCAGAGTTTTGCCATCGATGAGTCCAGTCCCTTCTCACAGTCGCGCTCGCTCGCACGGCGGCAGCGACGAGACCCCGCAGAGGTTGGGCCTCAATATGAAATCAGCGAGATGCCTGTCTCAGATATAATCGAAATGGTTGCCGGACTCCTAACCAAGATCACAACAACCAACGATCGGCAGCATGACCATCTACACCGCCAAATCCCCCCATCAGACGGCACAGCGGGCTTGAGTCAACAGACCACCAGCGTCCTGGCCTTCCACGGCAAGAACGTCCCCAGCATCTCAATCCTCAGCTATCTGAGTAGAATTCACAAATACTGCCCGACCACGTACGAGGTCTTCCTGAGTTTACTCGTCTACTTCGACAGAATGACAGAGAGGGTAAATGCTGGCCCTATATCTGGTCTTCGCAAGGCTAATGAGCAGTCTGTGGAACACTCAAAGTCTACAATGTCAGCAACTCCGGCACCGGCAGAAAACGCACGACCTGCATCAGCTTCCGCTCAGGCGGCGACCCCTCCTCCGTCAGGTTCCTTGGGCAAGCCATCGCAAACGCCAGGGGACAATGCCCAACCGCCTTCCCCACCACAACAAGATCTCGGCGCGGATGCTTTGAATCTATCCCACTTCTTTGTTGTTGACAGCTTCAACATACATCGTCTCGTCATAGCAGGCGTTACATGCGCCAGCAAATTCTTCTCCGACGTCTTCTATACAAACTCGAGATACGCAAAGGTTAGTGTCGGCCGATACACATAATGAAAACGTATGCTAACAGGTTCAAGGTTGGCGGTCTACCCTTGGTTGAATTGAACCACCTGGAGTTGCAATTTCTGCTATTAAACGACTTCCGCCTCGCTGTACCTTTAGAAGAAATGGAGGCGTATGGAACGATGCTAGTCGAGTTCTACGCGCGTGAAGTTGCCGAGCAGCATGAACGAGAAAACAGTGGAAAACAGTAATCTCGCCGCCGATTCCACCAAATTTGCTACGGTCCGTTGGACTGAGCGAAGCCAGCATAACGGAGGAGGGCAGAGAAAGATTGCGGATCAACACCGAACAAACAGAAGGATTCTTCGCGTCCAGTAGAGACCACAGGATACCACTATTGCGCAAACCATATGCCACGGCATATTATTGACATCCAGAGTCTTTGCATTCTGGAATAATTTGAGAAAGGGCAGACATGATGCCGAAACCCACGAGGTGACGACTTTGGTCCCAGCATGCGAGCGAGTGTTCTTCTTCCTTGGGTGTGTCTGTGTGTGCGTAGATTCTGGGATACCAACTGCCTGTCTTTTATTTTCAAGAGAGATTGATGACATTACGACAAAGTCTCATCCATCTGAGCTTCGTTTTCATGCTCTGCCCCTTTTGTATTCTTTGTTTTGATACCTTTTTGTGTGCACCATTAGGGTGGCGTTTATAGAGGTGCAATTCGAGGACATTGTTTCGATAATTATGCATTGGTAACCTGAAGAGCTTTGCATATGTATGATGACCTGGTTCCTGGTCGCAGCAGCAACTGAACAACAAAGTTTCTTGCGAAACCACGGAATAAGTGCCAATAGTATACACGCATGAGGGGTAGCTTAGCCCGCCCCTCCATTCTAGATCTCTACCTCAAACCAGGATGCCAGTCTCACCTACCAGAAAAAAGCGACGACAGACCCCTCCGTCCCGCCCCCCTGGATGCCAATGCCAAATCGCCGCCGCCGCAAAGCCAAGCTAATCCATGAATCATGCCACCACCACCACACGCAGAATCCAAATTAACCCCGAACCCCCCCAATCCCTGATCCCTCGCGCCAACCGTATTCCACCCGCAAATTACCTAAGCCAGGGGTAAACAACTCTCGGAACAAAATATACCCACGGTGCCACTTTGCTCAGGTAAAATACCTAGGTCATGCACGTACCACTTGGCGGCCTAGGGAGAAGTAGCTCGTGTCGTATGTCCCGAGCATAATCTGACGCACAGAGTCCACTCCGCGCGATAAAGCATACATGACACGTGAGACCTGAGATGAGACTAGGCGTGCGCCGCCGCGGAAAGGACCCTTGATAGCGGTAATGATAGCGGTAATGAGATGAAATCATTTGGGCGGAGTGTGTGCGCTGTGCGGCGGGCGGTAGGGGGATTGTGCTTGGTTTGTTTCCTTTTGAAGGGGGTGGGTTTGTGAATTTGTAGATTTCCTCATCGTCACTCTTTTACAAATCTTTCGGTCTCTTCTTTTGTGTTTTGCGGCTGTTGAGCATCTGGGGTATTGCTTGTCGTTGTTCTTTGTTTCGTTGGGCCTGCGCTTGGGTTGTCGGTTCGTGTTGCGTGCCCAGGTGGTTTTGCGATGCTTCGTTCGTCTTCCGCGCCTGCATCGTCGTCGTCCGGTACCTCGTATTCGTCCTCGCTATCGATAACGTCGTTTGTTCAGTATGGGTTTCTCGCTGCGCTAGCGTATATACTCGCTGGCGCGCCTTTGTCGTCGTTGCTTGCTTCGAATGCGGGTGGCGATGCGGTGTCATCGAGCAGCGCTGGTGCGAGAGGTGGTGGTGATGTAAAAGCCAACTTAGAGAATTTGGTGATTCCGGAGCGGAATTTGAGTTGCGCAGCGCATACATACAAGGGTGTCTATGTCCTGAGTCGGGAGCCGTTGGTGGTGTATATTGAGGGGTTTGTTGGTGAGGAAGAAGGGAAGGAGGTTGTTGCTTTGAGGTACGTCTGTTCTTGGTCGCTACTGCTTCGAGATATCCCAGGATATAGAGAGGGACTCTGTTTTCATGGGACTTGCCATGTAATAGTCATGCTGCATACTTATGGACGAGGCGAATACGACTAACAGTACAACCACAGTAACCCCCACTTCACCCCCTCAACAGTGTGGACCTCCGGCACCGAATCCTTCAAACCCGCGATCCGCAACTCAGAGAAAGCACCCTTACCCCGCAGTCAAACCGTCAAATGCATCGAAGAGCGCGCCCGCGTGTTCCAAGGCTGGCGGCCGTACACTTTCATCGAGAAACTTTGGAGCCAGAGATATGGCGTCGGTGGTCACTACACATACCACTACGACTGGAGCACTGCGACCAAGAAAAGCGGGCGCGTGAGTTCCTTCATGGTGTATCTGGAAGCAAATTGTACGGGCGGAGGCACGCATTTCCCGCGCTTGGAGAGGCCTGAGGATAAGAGTTGGTGTCGGTTTATCGAGTGTGGCGAGGATGGGGACGCGACGGTCTCTGTCTCGAAAGATGCAGGTGTCCCCTCGAATGGTGTTCGTCAAGAGGGAGGGCCCAAGGAGGATCTAAGCAAAGGCATCATTTTCAAGCCGATTGCTGGGAACGCAGTGTTTTGGGAGAATATGCGGAGTGATGGGACTGGATATGCGGAGAGTTGGCATGCAGGGTTGCCGGTTACGAAGGGCGTCAAGATTGGACTCAATATATGGAGTTGGTTGGCTGAGGGGTATGTGCCTGCGGATGGAGACGCTTGAAGACTATTACGAGTCAGCCGCGCGACCATAGCGTTCAATCTTCACGAAACCTGCAACGATATCCTACTTCTCCATCAATATCCATCAGCATGATAATTATACTGTGGGAGGTTTCCGACACCGATATCGCGCGAGGCTGTGAAATCGAGTCTCTAGCTTTCACAGACAACCCTCTCGGTCCCATCCTCAACCCAGGCCCGTTTCCTCTGGGAGCATCGCAACAAAGGATACAGCAGATTGTCAACATGAGGAATAACGACTCCTCTATTCATTTGATCCAGGCTTTCGACGAAGACACTGCTCAAATGGTAGCATGGGCGAAATGGCACGTCTTCGAAACCACCTAGGTAGCACTCGCTTCGTTTTAGCCTTTGCGCCTTAGTCCTGGAATGAATGCGGAAGCCTGCAAGACTTTCTTTGGGGGAATGGCAGAGCGGAGGAAAGCGATCATGGGAGAGAAGCGGTGTCTCTGTAGGTTTGCGCAATATACGTGTTGCAACGTAAAATCACACCGTCTCCATACTATTAAATCTCAGACCTTCAATTGCTATATACACATCCAAAGTTGCAAGGCAGAGGTGCAGGGAGTCTCCTCATAGACTGGGGAAAGCAGCGTGCCAAAGATCTTGGTCTTTCGATCTATCTGGCGTCCACTCCCGTTGGCCATCGCGGTTACCAGAAACACGACTTCGAAGACGTCGAGATCTACAGACTGGATTTCACCAGCTTTAATGGGCCCGTTCATGAACAGCCGCTGATGGTGTAGGAACCGTCAGGGTTGTGAGGAAGACAACACACTATCCGTCGCTAGATCCATGTGTTATACCTCCTGGTCCGTTTGTTTCGAGGTCGCAAAGCTCAGCGCATGTTGTTACACATATCTACACGACAAAAGTTTGATCTATCCAGTACAGTCGCAGTGTTACCTTTTGATCGAAGAAACGCTAATGCTACGACGAAAAGATGTCTTGATGTACCGAGAAAACGATTAAATAGTAAGGTAGATAGAATGCACATATAAAATAAGCCATTAGGTCCCGAATCGCGCTTTTCGTCAAACCTCCGAAGCTACTCACAACTTCCACAGCCTCAACAACCTAGAAGATGAGTTACTGTCACGGGTGAGAAGAATGCCAAGTATGACTCATCCTTTGGTCCTCCCCCAAATGTCAATGAGCGTTAGTCCAACGGCATATTACCCTTAGAAACATGGCCGTGAAGACACACCGTTCGATATGTGTTGACTTGTAACAGTCGGCGTCAACCCACTTGGCGCATTCTAGCTTGCCTACCACGGAGCCACTTTCCGCGTCCGCGTAGTCCTTGACTGACTTGTAGTCGCACGTGTCGCCGAAGACGCCCGTAATGCCTTTCATCTCGTCGAACATCTTGGGTGTCGATGCGTCATCGTCCTCCCAGGCTGTAGCTGAACGACACACATCGACGTCTTCGTAGGAGGCCAGTCCTACACGACCGAAACGGCCGACGGTGCCGGCGCTGGCACCCAAGTCATAGGTGAGGATGTCGTAATAGGGGTGGTATCCGTTATGTACTGGCGGCTTTGATGGTTCGGGTTCTGGTTCGGGTGTCGGCTCCGGCTTCGGGGGTGGAGCTGGAGGTGCGATGTCTTGGTTGTACTCTGGATCGATGCGCCAAGCCAGGCAATTATTCTCCAAAACACCTCCTTGCTTGTCTGCTATGGTGTTTTGGTCGCAACCATCAATGATTCGAAGGAGCTGCTTGTTGCATTCTCCTTCGTCAACGCGCCATTGACAGTTGCTCTTTAGCTCTAACCGAACCAACATGTTGAGGCCAGCCTTGTGTTGCTCGTCCCAACCAAAGTTCAGCTCCAAAGCTTGGAAGTCATCGCTCTTGTACAAGAAGTCATTGTACTGTGTGCAAAACTCTTTGGCACCGAAGACCATATTGTCTCTTGAAGCGGCTTGACCACTGTCATAGCAGGTCAAGTCATTCTGGGTCATATCGGGTGACTGAACGGGGGGTGGCCGGTCGTCTCCACCTCCATTCTCTCCTCCACCGCCGCTACCACCATCTCCACCGGGGTCGCTTGGATCCTGGTCGCCGGGAAGGTTGATAGGTATGCAGGTTTCCCCAGTCTCTTGCTCTTCAACTTCTTCTTCGCTTGGATCTTCACCGCCACCAACCTCACATTGCAAACCGTTGCAATCATTACCTGCAGGCGTACAGTTCTTGCCAGAGCATGTCCTGCACTTCGGCTTGCTACACGTCATGCAGTCTTTGCCTTGGCAAGAAACACAAGATGCACCCTTGCAACCCGCACAGTTAGTACCAATACAGATGTTGCAAGCGGGACCACGACAGCTGAAGCAGTCTAAACCGTCACAGCCAACGCAATCCAAGCCAATGCAAATGTTGCACAGCAGGCCGAGTTTGCATCCTCCGCCGCCTCCTCCGCCGCCACCACCACCACCGCCGCCGCCACCGGAATCGCAGTCATCGCCTTTGCAGTCATCATCTTCGTTTTCATCGTCATCATTACTGCCACCCCCATTCTCGTCCTCCGTGATATACGGTGGGCACAGCATCGCCATCGAGATGAACGGGCACGGTGTAGAGAACGGCGATGTTGTTGGTGATGGCGGCAAACCAGAAACGAACGTGATGCTAGGTATAGCTGACGTCACCCTGCTTGGAAAGGGACTCGGTGTTCCGGTAGCACTCGTGATGATGGTTCTTCCAGCAGGGTCGATCAATGTAAAGCTTGGCCATACTGGTGTCGTGTATAATATTACTCCTGTAGTGATGGTCGCGGGTAGATTAGACGTCGCCGTACTTCCCCCTCCTCCACTGCCGCCGCCAACTACAATAGTCGAAATCCAGATAACGGACACTGTCAGGGGAGGGCGGGTGACAGTGGTGGTGAATCCTGAACTCGTGACCGTAACGAGTGGGTAGCGTGTCCTTGTTGTGAACTTTGTATACGGTGGCAAGACTACTGTGCAAGGGAAATCGCATGTGACCGTTGGCTTGTCGCTATCCCAAATCTTCGGGTCGACCCAGACAAGGTCAGTGCGGTTGTTGCCAGATCCACTGCCGCCATTGGCACCGCCACTACCGCCAACGCTTGCATCGAAATCGATTGACCAAATCATCGTACCACCGAGACACATAGAGTTTGCGAAATCCTCTCTCATGGCGATGGTTTCTTCATCGTCGAAGCCTACCCAGCTATCACCCCCGTAAGTCATGTACTTCACCATTGCTGTCTTGTTGAGGTATGGGCTGTAGCCGTGCTCTTTGATCATGTCTCTGATCTCCCGGTTTGACAAGACACCTTCAAAAGCCGTACATTTACCAGCGGCTCCAGGTCCCGTGAACTTGCATTGATTCATGGTGCCGCAGGCAGGGTCGGCGAGTTTGTATGTGCGACCGTAATAGGCGAGCCCGATGTTGATCTTTGACGGATCAACACCATCGAACCAAAGCGGCTTAAGATTGTTGTATAGCTCCGTGATGTCAGTGTGAGGACGCACAATGGAGCCTAAGCGCAGGGTCAGCATGATAAAGCATCGTCGGAGTAATTCAGGCCACCTACCAAGGGCTTTCACATCCGTATCCCATGGGCCGTGCAGGTCATATGCCATGAAACCCATGAAGTCGACGTAAGGTTGCATGGCTTTCGGTTTGAAGCCACGAAGATACCAATAGTCAGGGGCAAGTGTGAGGGACAAGCCAAAGCGAGATCCAAATGCAGCTCGCATCTCTTTGACCAACAGCACCAGGTTGTCGGCGTCGCCAGGTCGGCCACCGCGCTTCTCGTCAACAGGGTATTCCCAGTCCAGATCCGCTCCCTGAAACCCATATTTCTGCATAAAAGCTATCAGCGACGTGATGAAACGAGCACGATTTGCTGAAGTTGAAACCATGTCGCTCCATGCCATGTGATATGGGCCAGGATCTGAGAAGGACCAACCGCCTATGGCACACCAGGTTTGCAGCGTGTTTGAAGCCAAGCTTGTGAATTCGGTATATTGTTCGACGTCGGCCGGGTTCATAGGTGTCATCTCAAAGGTGCTAGGGTCGAAGAAGACGAAAGAGTAGAAGAGGTGTGTGAGTCCTTTGGTGTTGATCTGTGACGGACTGATTCGATCGCACTGTCGTTCGCGCACATTCCATCCTTGATAGTAACCAATATGTCGACCTGAGGAAGCTGAAGTTCCAGTGCAAGATGGGGATGGGTAGATCGTACACGACCCAAACCCCTGTTGGCAAGGAGTTACGCCGAATTGCGGTTCAGGGTCGTAACAATGCACATTCTCAGTACCACACCAGCCATAGTGACTGCAGCAGAGGTCAAGAGCGCACGGGGTGTTTCCGTCCGCAGAGTCAATGCCGCACATAGCTTTGGCATCGCAGTTAGACTGGCATCCAGCGCCGCAGTGAGCTTCTTTGAAGCCGCACTTTCCATCAGCGCTGCAGCAGCTATCATCCTTGCAAGGCGATCCAGGTCCACATTGTACAGGTCCATCGCGTTTTTGGAGGTGTGTGAAAGGAGTCGTTCCGTTCTGTATAGTGTTGTCGTGAGTATCGGCATGAGAACGAAATTCGTGAAACGTTCGGTGTTTTCCACTCGCGTGTGACCAACTCTGACGACGAGCTTTTACATCGCGCTTTTGAAGTTGCGCAAGCGTGGAGTTACTTGCTAGATTACCGCTTGGTATAGTGCTAGAGTTGCCGCTTGCGACAGAAGCACCGCTTTCTATATTGGCCAAGATGTACGCTGTTCCAAGATCGAGAATGTCTAGCGGACGGGAGAAATGAAGACCGAAACTACCTCTCCCACGGCTAGAGTTGTCGTATATCGAATCCAGGAAAGAAGAGTTCTGCGACCAATCGGAATCGTTGGCAACGATGTTGGCGGCCCCAAACCCGAACTCGCCACCCGATGCAGCGTAGTTTGTGGCAGCGATCTTGGTCTCTGACCAGGAGCCATTGAGAAGAATGTCTACACCTGGCCAGTCTTGTATGTCCTTCCGGGTCAAGCTGGACATGTATCGTAGGTGCTCAGTCGTATTCATGTTATCTGTGCTATCACCAGTTCGCCTGCTGACCTTGGTATTCCACTTTGTCGCATAATTGTCCCCCATCTTGACTGGAAACAACGAGAGAATGTCAGTCCACGTTCAGATGAAAATTGACTTGAATCTGAGCGACTTACACCCGGCGGGCGGATCGTTAACACCGCTTGAGTCATCCAAATTAACAGCGATGAGCATAGCATAATTGGGCTGTTCAGTTGCCGGTATCTTCAACTCTTCCAATGCAAGCTTGTGGAGCTTGATCTGAAGAACACCGTGAGTTATTCCCTGCCAATCTTCGGCCATGTATTAGTAAAACGGTCTCATCCAGAGGTGCTAGCGACAAGACATATTGTGGATGGAGGAGAGAGGCTATGCTGTAGACATTATATACTCACTTTGCTCAGACTTGATGCTTTCATGGGGTGGGACGGGTGTACCACCTGAACAACCCTTGTTCATTGACATGGGCGCGCAGAATGTGTTACCTCTGCTGCCGTCACCTTCAGGGAGGATATTCATGCCTGGAGTGCCAACGCCGCCCTCTACGAAACTGTATTAATGAAGAATGTCAGTCACAGCGCAAGTAGCTCAAGGATCGGTTGACGTGATGGAGGCTGACCTTCTCGGTGGCCATTCTTCGCATGTGTATCGTCGTCCGCTTCGTCTTATGAGCCTAATGAAAGTAGATCTTGGTAAGCCAACAGGTTTTTCACACGTCCATGTGAGTAAAAAACGCCGTACCTGTTACGAGCTGGATGTCCTATCGGTTTGCTAATGTCGATCTGGTATGAAGCTTCAAGCTCCCACTCATTCAGAGGGTTGATGGTTTCCACTGCGGTGGTCCAGTGGTCTGGCATGATGACTGGCTGTATCACTACTCCATTCCTTTTCTGAGGGCACTCGTTGTTCTTCTTGAAGGTTTTGCACATCTTGTCACCCCTTCTTTCGGTCACTTCGGAGTTCAAGTCATAGCCGTAGATCTGTGAAGACCCGGCTCCATACTGGGCTAGCTTCCGATTCTTGCCGCGGTCTGTCTCTAGCCATTCCTTCGCATTTTTACAGATAGCTTTCATGTAGTAGCAGTTGTAAGTTAGAACAACAATCGTCTTAGGCCTAAGAACGCGTCTGAGAGGATCACCCTTCTCTCGACGCCAGTGAGCTACGGAACAAGTTACATTAGCTTTGTGTAGCATGATTGGGTGACGCCAACCAGTAGACTTACGTGTCTCTTCTCCATTGTAGAGCTTCATTTGGTACTCTTGGATGAACTGACCCCAAGCGAGGTTGTAGATGGACAATCCGAGAAGTATCAGACATAGCTTGCGCTGAACGAAATTGACGAATGATGAAGCCATGTCTTCGTCGATGACTGGTCGGAATGCTGTAAGTTGAGGAACCTAGAAGGGAGTAAGTGAGATTGATCATAGGACCTCATTCCTCGTGTCAGACCCCCTGGTAGTGTTCGATCTCGGTATAGTAAAGTTGACCAGGTCTTCGCACAGGGTCAATGCATATGCAGTATTGCGGAACAGGTAGTTACATATCGCACGCGGGCAACATGCCGTTCTCGGCTGCGGACCGTACCTCCCGCACCGGCAGAATTTCTCTTTCCTGGAATTGGTACGATCCTGTTGATAGCCTATGATCACTCCAGATTTGTCGTTCTCCGTCAGGCAACTTCAAGCGACTCGAGAGAGCGCGCCCGAACGGTCGGCCCGGCAATCCGAGAATCACACCTCTATGCTTTGATCGCCACGAAGATGTTCCAATATATCAAAAAAGTGAGCAATGCACAGCCTCAATGCGACCTAGGCATGGGTCTTTGCTCCTGACGGTTGCTTGTGGGAACGCCGATGCTGTTAACCGCGCAGCGATAGCCGTCGTACATCAATCCGGTCCGTGAGTCTGCGCTACAACACTCAAAGCGAATTAAATGGATAATCTCGAGGTTATTTGCGTCGTAGTCATATGGCGGAAACCTTTCATCCGGATAGGCGCCCTTGGCGAAGGATCTCATTCTGCCGAGGCCGGGATGCAGGAAGCGACCTCGTCTGCACACTCACAATCCTCTTCTCTATTTCCTGTGAACCCCTCTCACAAGACCGTACAACTTTTGCTTCGTTGGTAATCCGATCGGTTGTCATGGCCCCGTCCAGCACATCGGATGAAGTCCGCATTGAGCCAGGAGCTGAGGTTCTAGCAGACGTCCACGGGTGAGCATGAACAATTCTCATCCAGTCTCGCAGCATGATAATCTCGGAAAGAGAAGACCTTTCGTGCGGGTAGAATCCTTGGATCGTCTCAAGTGGAATGTACTCGCTTCACCATCGACAATCGAGGCCGTCGACTTTGATGAGTCGGGCGAGGTGTGCTGGCGACCCCTGTTGTTAGACCCAAAGCATCCTCTAGCCGATGAAGCTGTAACCGAACTACCCATTCCTCGAATGGGTGTCAAGCTGGTTATGATTGAGTATTGGAAAAGTCTGGGCATGATGGATGAGGCCCCGCCGCCTCTGGTCATCGACAATACTGACGGACGAGCCATCACCATTGAACAATTCGTTCTCAGAGTCTCCGAGTACGCCTACAGCCTACGAGAAATGCTGTACGAAATCGAGGATCGGGAACCATCTTCACAGGAGAGTGCTGAGATCTACTACTACTCGACTGGTGCACCAAAACTTCAAGAGCCTGGAAATCTGTATGTATTCCCTTTGAACTTCAACACCAATGAATCGAGCTCGGTTCACGAGATAGAGGCACAATGGGTCCGAAGGGAACAGTTATTTGTCGAGAACTATGGGGGTTAAAGTCGAAGAGGTGTTCTACATCTGCCCTGTAAGATGCACCTAGTATGCCAAGTACTCTATACGTGCTAATCTCCGTGTCTACATAGCGGGTTCTACAACCTTGCAACCGATATTGAACCCTACATTAGCCGCTTGCGTGCATGTCGAGTGTGCACGGTAATCTAGGTATTAGATACTCTCAGCCCCTTGTACATCAGATTAAATCTCAGAGCATCAAGTCTGTCATACCTTTCCCAAAACTCGGCATGACTGTATTCGGATATGTCTTCCTCTTCGCAGCGTTGTTACTTCCTCGAGCAGCCGCTGAAGTGCGATGTCGCTTCAACACCACCGCCCCAACACCCGTGACCTACTACACATGTACTGAGCTTGCGCTCAAATACGGAATCACGATTGAGCACTTTTTCATGCTCAATCCCCTTCTCGATCCAGACTGCTCCAGCATCCAATCTGGCAACCGGTACTGTGTAGCAGGAAATGTGGTACCGGTATCTACCGATGGATCTTGCAAGCCGGAAGATTACTTCACCTGTCTAGGCTACTCCGGCGGTCAATGCTGCAATTCGGAGACCTGGAAGTGCGGCCAAACGAAGTACGTGGAGCGTTCTGCCGGGCTGTCAAGACCCTAGCTAGAGTATTAGCTGATCACTAGATGCACTTAGGGAAGATTGTCGTGCAGGCACATGCGCCACGGGATTGTGCTCTGTCAAGAACCCCAGTGACTACTCGCTCGATGGCACATGCGGCTCTGCGACTGGCAACAAAATCTGCGGTGGGAAATGGGGCGACTGCTGTGGTATGAACAGCAAATGCGGAACAGGCCAGGGATACTGTGGGCTGGGCAATTGCTTGTACGGTGAATGTGTCTTGGAAATTCCCACAGCATCCCCCACCCTTTCACCCTCGCCTTCGCCGTCTTCGATTCCAGTCGGGAACACATCTCCGGGTAAGAGAAGCGCATCTTCTAGCAGCAATTGTCCCTAATCCAGGTCATAATCTGACGAGGCTTACAGATGGAACTTGCGGCGGTGCCAACGGCTTTAAATGTAGTGGCTCTGCATTCGGAGATTGTTGTAGCCTGTCCGGATTCTGCGGAAATACCGACGCACACTGCAAGGGCGGCTGCCAGTCGTCCTTTGGAAACTGCACAGCGGGTAACGACAACGTATCTCTGGACGGCTCGTGTGGAGGCACAAAAGGCTACATATGTAGCGGAAGTGGCTTCGGCGATTGTTGCTCTTCAGGTGGATGGTGTGGAAGTTCTACCAGTCATTGTACCGCTGGTTGTCAGGCCAAGTTTGGAACTTGCGCCGGTGACTCTGATCTTTCGCTGGATGGCACTTGTGGAGGCGCGAAAGGTTACAAGTGTACGGGCAGTGGGTTCGGAGACTGCTGCAGTGCTGCTGGATATTGCGGTGGTTCGTCTAGCCATTGCGCTGGTGGCTGCCAAGCTGGATTCGGTACATGTTCTGGTGGCCCGAATCTTTCACCCGATGGCACCTGTGGAGGCTCGAAGGGCTACAAGTGTGCCGGCAGTGGGTTTGGGGACTGTTGCAGTGCTGCTGGCTACTGTGGTAGTTCATCGAGCCATTGCGCTGGTGGTTGTCAAAGCACATTTGGCACATGTTCTGGTGGAGCGAACCCGAATGCGTCTCCCGACGGTTCATGCGGTGGATCGAAGAAGTATACGTGTGCTGGAACGTCTTTCGGCACGTGCTGTTCCGCTGGTGGCTACTGTGGCAGTACAGTCAACCATTGCGCCCAAGGATGGTACGTAGACCCTATGTCATACGTTATTCGCTCAGGAAAGTTGCTAACGCGATGCGTCCCATCAGCCAAAAGTCTTTCTCCAGCTCGTGCCTCACGAGCAACATCCCCAGCTTGGATGGCGCGTGCGGTTCGACCAAAGGCGGCTTCACTTGCTCGGGCGGTCCCTTCAATGGGCAATGCTGTGGGTCCACTGGATTTTGTGGACAGACTGATGCGCATTGCAAGACTGGCTGGTAAGTGGCATCGTTCGTAACCCTCTGTGCAAGTGCTGATAATGTTTAGTCAAAAGAACTATGGTACCTGCAAGTAGGACAACCTTCTGGACATCGATAGCTTCCAGTCCTTGCGTAAATAGTCCTTGATCGTTGTCTCATCACGTAATATAGCTGTACAAATCCAATTGAGACTGTGTGGCGAGGCTTATTATGATTGGTCTGTGGTGTTAGATTGAAGGACGGAGGGACCGTGGGGGCGAGCGACAACCTTGCCCAGGTGGAAGCTTGCAAACTCACAAGACGCTAGTGCGGCGGGGCCCGCAAGCAAATGTGGGTCAATTACTAAGGCGATGCCCAACCAATGTAGCCATGCCTGGCTCTACCACTTTGGCCGTGTACTTTGAGGGTTTGATTTTCGATAGCGACTATTACCAACCATGTCTATATCGACGTAAAACATCTTCGCCTTTGACAATTTCTCGTATGAACGCGAGGGGAGAAGAGGAGAACACGATCTCGTTCGCGCTCTGACAGCTCCACGGTCTCCGGCACGCCTCTCTCCTCAACCACCCTTACCTAGGTATTTACAAACCGCGCGATTCACCGCCCATCATGGTCTATCCAGGCCCTTCAAATCCGGTTCACATACCGCCAGGGTCGATAGATTTTGCCGAAGCAAGTAGGAACTTTCGCCTCATTCCTCAAGAGGTGCCTCGTGAGGAGGAGAGCCTCTTACACACGAGTGCTCTAGACCGCCTACGATGGAACCTACTCGCCCCACCGTCTACCGTCCAGATCATCGATTCTGATGAAGATCGCGAGCCAATGTGGCGATTGATGTTGGTAGGCCTAAAGCACCCTCTAGCTGACGAGGCGGTTACCGAAGTACCGCGTTCACGAATGTGTGTAGCATTCGACATGGTCGAAGCTTGGGAGTGCTGGGAGAGATACGATGACAGTCCACCCCCACCGCCTCTTCTCATCGAGAATTCCGATGGGAAGGCCATCACTATCGAGCAGTTCATCGTCAAGGTCTCCCAATACGCTCAGAGCTTGCGGGAGACGATTTTCGAATGTGAGGGTCGCGCTTTGTCGGGGTCCGAGGGCGCGTGTCTTTGGTTCGATGCGGCATTCGGACCAAAACGGAAGGATGCCGAAGATCCAGATATCTTGTTCCTCGTCGGATTCACGTCCAATTTCTGGTTCTCAAGCAGCCAAATTGAAGCGGACCATGTTCAGAAGGAGAAGAACTTTATCGAATCGCTTAAAGTAGAGCGGACTTAACGCTCCGTACTTAGCACACATGGCTGCAAAGTAGCGAAAAGGCCTTCCGCGATTGTTGCTCTTCCGACGGATGGTGTGCAAGAACCAAGAGCCATTGTACCGCAGAGTGTCAGATTACGTCCCACACTCCATCCGGTTGACCAATATGACGAATAGTCACTATCGAAGCGGAATGATCCGAAGGACGCTTATAATCTTCTGCTATTGGAATGGCAAGGTGGATGTGCTGTGAGAATTGGTCGGCCAGATTCAGATCGGCGTTTGGAAGCCACTGGGGCCGGTGCGAAGAGAGATCTTCAATCGTTAGACAGTCGGTATGCGTTATCAGAGTACTAGGTATGCGTTGGGAACGATTTAGCAGTGAACAGTGTGGATAGATCACATTGAGCGTGACGTGGAAGAATAGTACGACACTCACCGCAAAGATGAACACACCGCAAAGATCGCCTCACCGGAAACATGTCCAGGTGAGCGTCGCTTACAGTCCTTTTCTCAACGACGCGCGGAAGATAGCATCCGTTTGGTGGCGTCCAGTGAGCGAGCGTAGAGCTTTGCTTCTTTTCAACGGGAAACAGAGTGCGCCTTGGATTTTGTTCCCATATTTGTTGAAGTCCCGAAATAGTGCATCTTGTTAGAGGAGTGTCATCTATCTGCCCAGACATCTTTCATTCACTAGTCACCCTTGTGTTTGACATCTCAATATGGGAATTTGCGGCCCCACGAATTTCCCATGTCTGATCGACACCTAGAGATAGCCGAAAGTCGATTAGCCAGTCGTGCAGGGGTAGAGGCTGATCTAGAAGGAGCAAGTCTACATCAAATGGTTCTGGTAGACAATACCACCTGTTGTAGATTTAATTGCGATGCTCCAATAGCTCACGAATGTGATCCAAGCTCAATAGCACGTCGTCTGAAAGCTACATAGAGTTCATCTGGTACCCGTGAAAACATGCGCTTGTACTGAATGACTTTTGCTTCTTTCAGGCGGTCGGGGAGGCGCCAAGGCGGTGGGGATGCTGTCGGTGAGGCTGGTCGACGAGGCTGTCGTTTCGCTGAGTCCCTCCCGTGCCACTCAGGAATCTTCAAAGATTGCTTCTTTCGGGCGGTCGATGAGATTGACGCTGCTTACCTAGGTAGGTAGGTACGTCCACGGGTGGTGTACCCAGGTTGAAGGGCGATTCCTCATCGAGCTTAGCACAGAAGCCGGGTGGCATGCGGGAGGCGGCAACAACGGCTGCACCCCACCGTGACTTCTACCCCCACCACACCACCCCAGGGCAGATCCATTACTTACAGCAGCGACTAACACAGATAGCTCCAGAATGCAGCAGATTGACCGCTCTCTGGTTGCGGATTATCACCATATCCGCTGTAGTTCTTTTCCCTGATGAGGCTAGAGGGGCCAGTGCACCCTTAGGAGAATCAGGTACCGAACGTGCGAAACATCGAAGCACGGTTCGCTACAGTGTGTCGTACCTCACCCTACTACCCCAACGCTTCTGACACTATGCAAAAGACAAAGTGGTCTCGTGAAAGCTTGCGCTTGGCACTCAACATGCTCTCAGCAACTGTCGGTCTGGCATTCTTGCACGTTCCATTGGACGATCTCCTGTATCCTCACCGGACTGTATGAGACCAGCGCGAAAAAGAAGCAAGAAAGAAGACCTCAGAGCAGAAGAGACACGATGTTCAGCACGTCGAAGATGTGTATATAAGACCTCACATCCTCGA